CCTCAACCTAGTAGACAGTGGTTCTGTCACTGGCCAGAGTGTTAGTGTGCCAGTCTGGGCCACAGCCCTTAGAAGACACCTGGGAAGCAATGGCTGGAAGATGTTCCCAGATCAGCCATGCCACATAGGCCTACGCATGTTGCAGAAGAGCAATGGTGAAGTTTCCTGATGAGTGTATCTCACCAGAAGAATGCTTCTTGTGAGAAGCTCACCATTATTATTATTGCATCTTGGTTGTATGTTTGATTGACTTCTGACTGCAAACGTTGGCAGAAATCATCTATTTCCTCGTTTTTGGCTCTGGTTGGTGGTATACAAATGTGAATGATAGTGGTATTAATAGGTCTTCCTTGTAGGGGTATGCATGTTATTCTGTTGCTCACAACATTACATGTCAAGATAGATCTAGAAATGGCATTTTTAACTATGAAAGTGACCTCATTGTGTCTCACCTTTTCATCTACAGCAGCGTAGATCATATGATTGTTTGATTCAAAATATCCCATGCCAATCCATTTCATTTCACCAATATCTAATATGTCAATATTTATGCTTCCCATTGCTTTCTTAATGATGTCCTGTTTTCCTACCTTCATGCTTCTCACATCCCACCTTCCAATCATTAGTTTCTGCTTACACCTATTTCTCCTCTTTTGTATTTCCAAATTTGAGGACTCAGCCTCAGTTGCCATATCTATTAGCCTACTATAAGTGTGCTCTATTGTACACAAGGTTTTTGAAGGCTTTTTACAGTTCAGAAGTGATGACCAACACTTCTTCCTAGTCTGTCTTAATTTGATTGCTTAGTTTTAGAACAATATCTGACACACAAGCGTTTTACCGAAAGAAGCAGATAAAAATGACAATTCCCATTACAGAATAATCAGTATATTCCATCACTCTGGTGCATATTTATTGTCCCTTCTCTTTCCCTGCTACATCAGCATTTGTTGCACTTCTGCCTACCCCTTAGCATCAAGATACTTAAAATATTAAAGGGGAGCTCTGGTGGCCTAGTGGCAAGAAACTGCACTGCAATCCCAGAGGAACATGGTTCAAATCCACCAGATGCTTTGCCGGAGAAGGAGGCGCAATATCCTCCTGTACCAGTCAGATCTGATTTGACGGTACACGCACACACACACACACACACACACACAAAATTAGGAACTTTCACCTTGAAATTCCATATTTCAAGTATAAATTCAGAAAAATGTTGATATGTGCTAGAGGTTAATAAAGAAAAATGAGTAAGTAACTCAAATGATCAATTGCTAAATAATGGTCAAATAAATTGTCCTGCACCTAGAATCTAGAATTAACTTGACTTTTAAAAGTGCTTAGCAATGAAAATAAATTGGGAAGATATTTATGGTAAGTTGGAATAATAGGATACAAAGAGTATATTTATTAGTACAATTGCTTAAAAATATGGATCAGGCTGAAAATACAGGGTAATTATGGGCAAGGTCCAATGGCGATTAATTTTATAAAACATAATGCATGAGAATGTATGAAACACAATGTGAAGAATACTGTAAAACACAATGTATACAAACTTTGTAAGCAAACCAGTAAAAAAAAGTAAATAAATAAATATATATATATATATATGAATGGCAAAAGGTTTTGGGGGTTTATACCTGGGAATTACGTTCCCCTCCCTCTATATTTTCTCATTTTCAGATCTTCTAGAAATATAGTCTTTTTTAATTAAAAAATTAAAAAATATTATATGTAAAAAATTAGTCATCCCCTATGTAAAATGAATGACTTTTTTCATTAACTATGGTGAAGCAACAGATCCACTGGCAATTATATAATCCTTATGGTGGCAAATCTCTAAGGAATTGAGATGCTAACCCAAAGGCCTTACCTCTCTGGCAGTTTGAATTCACCAGTGACTTCTTGGGAGAAAGATGAGCAGTCTTCTCCAGTACTAATTACAGCCTCAGGAATCCAATGGAAGGTCAGCTATAATCAGTTTGAACTCAAAAGCAATGAGTTTTGAGTTTATGGAATTTGAACAGTGGTATGACTCTATATATACTAACCTTACGTAGCTTAATATTGCATATGAAAACTTTAATTAATTAATTAAATTTAATTAATTAGAACACTGTCTTGAGGCTACTGTGTAGCCAACACAGCCAGGTCACAGAGGTAACACAATTAGAGTTTTTGAGAGGTTAAGAGTTGGAAACGTTTTCCTTCTGCCAATTTAAAAACTTACTAATTTATATTTCTGTGTGGATCATAACAAACTGTGGCTGACTCTGAGAAGAATGGGAATCCCAGAACATTTAATTGTGCTAATACGAAACCTATACTTGGACCAAGAGGCAGTAGTCAGAACAGAGCAGGGTAACACTGCATGGTTCAAAATAGGGAAGGGTGTACGCCAGGGATGCATCCTGTCTCCATACCTTTTCAACATGTATGCAGAGCAGATTATCCGAGAGGCTGGGCTCTATGAGGAGAATTGTGGCATCAGGATTGGTGGAAGATCTATCAACAATCTCCGTTATGCAGATGACACAACCTTGCTTGGTGAAACTGAGGAGGACCTCATGCACTTGCTGCGAAGGGTCAAGGACTGCAGCCTTCAGTATGGACTGAGGCTCAATGTCAAGAAGACAAAGATTCTCGCCACTGGACCAATTGGCAGCGTCAGGATGGATGATGAAGAGATTGAGAGTGTTCACAGCTTCACTTTGCTCGGCTCCACAGTTAACACTCTTGGTACCAGCAGTCAGGAAATCAAAAAGCGTATCACGATGGGAAAGTCTGCCGTTAGGGACCTGTCAAAGGTACTCAGGAGCAACAGTGTCTCTCTGGAGACTAAGGTGCGCCTGATACAGGTCATGGTATTTGCAATCGCTTGTTATGCATCAGAGAGTTGGACAATGACTAGGGAGGACAGAAGGAGAGTGGATGCTTTTGAGCTGTGGTGCTGGAGAAGGGTACTGAATGTACCCTGGACTGCCAGGAAAACAAACAGATCCATCTTGGAGAGGATTAAACCAAGGCAAGGATTCTGGGGCTTCGTCTGACATACTTTGGACATGTTGCAAGGAGGGACGGGTCCTTGGAGAGGGACATCATGCTTGGGAGGGTGGAGGGACAGCGCAGGAGGGGAAGACCCTCTATGAGATGGATTGATTCGGTGACTGGGGTAATCGGGATGGGTGTGTCAGAGGCGGTGTGGTTGGCGCAGAATAGAGCAGGGTTTAGAGCTGTTGTGCATAGGGTCGCTATGAGTCGGAAACGACTCGATGGCACATAACAACAATAACAACAACAATTTATATTTCTAATTTCTAGATTCTATAATGTAAAATTTATTCACAAACTAATGTAGTTTGTTGGGATTCAGATCCCAAATGGGATAGCTTTATTCCTGTTCCTTTCAACCCCAGGAATAATTATCACAAATTCTAACATTATTTGTCATGTTAACCCAAACTTTAAATATCATCTTCAGTCTTTTTTACAAAATGCTAACATAGGCTTAGTGCACAGTTGTTTAAATAAAAGCCAGTCAACAACAAACATCAAATATTTCAAACAATTATGTACTCATTTAAAGTGAGAAACTATATAAGCTTACAAAATAAAGATATTTTAAAAGTTAATGTCAATCTTTCTTTTTAAAGGTTAAACATATTTTCATTTCAAGTGGTCAAGATTCTTACTCTAATTGGTTCTACACTCAAAACTCATGGAAGCAGCAGCCATAAAATCAAGTGATGCAGTGTATTGGCCAAAGTCTTTTTCAAGGTTATACAGCAAAGATGCCATTAAGGAGATATTTTCGATCACTTCATATACATTTGATAGTTAGGCAGCAAAGTAAAAAGAATGAAGAATTGATGCTTTGGAATTATGATATTGGCAAAGAATCCAAAATATATCATGTACTTCCAGAAGAATACACAAATTTGGCTTGGAATAAGTATTAATACAATGTTCCTTAGAGATAAAGATGTTCTACCTTGTCTTACATACCTTGGCATTATTATCAAGAGGAATCAATCCTTCGAGAAGGGCATACGTTTTGAAAAAGGAGAGTTAAGAAAAAGAAATTTAAAACACACACACACACACACACACACACACCAACAACAACAACAACAAAACCAGGAAGATCCTCAATGAGGTAACTTGTAGCAACAGGCTCAGACAACAATGATTGTGAGAATAGTACAGGACTGGGCAATGTTTTGTTGTGTTGTATGTAAGGTTGTTAGGAGAGAACCCTGGTGTCCTACTGGTAAGAGGGTACACTGCAATCCTGAAGGAATGGGGCTTGAATTCACCAGTTGCTCCTCAGGAGAAAGTTGGGCAATCTCTTCTCATGTGATTAACTGTCCAAAAAAATCAATGGAGCTATGGGTTGTTTCCAACTCGACAACACACAACAACAAAAAAATTGCTATGAGTTGAAACTAATTAAACACATATAACAACTTATAAGGAATCCTGATTTTTTAAAGACTTTTTAACAACTTGTTTTTTGATGAAAGTATCATTCTTCAGAAACTTTGAGAGAATTTATACTTTGCATTCCACAATTAATATTTCCCATTGTTGACAATCGGATTTTTTTCCCCAATGAGTAGGACCCTATACACTCACTGAACTATTAAAATAAGGTTGCCAAGACTGTTGAAAGCCCTAAAATGGAAGCACTCTTCTTCCTAAGGCAATGTGCAGCTATTCTGAAATTAAATTATTAGCAATGCCAGCATAAATCCTATTTCTCTATTTTTCTCAAGTGTCTTGCTGAGAAATCTTTCAGAAACTGTTTTCAATTTAATTCTGTTTCTATTGGCACTTTCTGAAAGGCTCTGTAGTTTCCAGCATGTGTCTGCCATTCAAATCAACAACCATTTAATTTCACAAGAAATAGCCTTAAGTAATTAAATAATTTGAAGTTATGAAAATCAAGCCCACATTATTAGATCATGATAATGAAAAGACACAAAGGTTCTGCTTACTTTTCCAGCAGTGCTCATCTTGTTTTTCTCTGAGTCCGCTTTTTTAGCAAAAGGACTTTTTCTGCCTGATGGTTGACTCTTTCTGCTGTTAAGTATATTGTTCCTCCAAATAAATAGTCTGCCCCAAAAGTCCTGCCTCCAGCTAGAATGATGACTCACAACTTTCAAAATGTTCCGCAGTTCACAAGCCTCACCCTTCAAAGATTAGTTTATGGGGGGAAAAAAAGACAGTGACTTTTATGATTAAGCTAAGAATAAAGATCTAACAAAGACAAGATAATCAAACCTATTGAAAAGAATTGAAAGCACTCCTGCCCATGTTCTATCTGAGGATATGTAAACAGGCCAGGCCAGTGCAGTTCAACACAATGCATTAAAATGTATTGTGTTGCCTAACACACTCTACTGGAAACAGCTGATTTTAGGGAGGTATACTTCTTTGTACAAAGACTTAAGATTGTTTTGGAATACATGCAATTAAATATTAATAAAAACAAGGCCCAGGAAATGTAAACAAATTTGAATAGAAAGTAAATGTTAAATCACAAGAAAAATATAAACTTATGGAAGACTAAAATTTCAAGGCATTTTGGGTATATAAATATGTATAAAACTTTTCCAAGCTTATAGAGAGATTATGGTCTGATCCCAAATCACCATTTTCCACAGTGTTGTCATATGTGGTTTTATAGTTTGTGTCAACAATCTGCGTTATGCAGATGACACAAACTTGCTCACTGAAACTGAGGAGGACCTCATGC